TGGAGTTCTTACCCCATAGTCTTATTTTACTGTCGGTGGCTTTGGCACCGGATGTGTCTTGTTTCTCGGGAGGATCCCTTTTATATAACCATTCAACTTTGCCCTGTAGTCTTGTTTTATCGTCGATAGCTTCAACATCGAACGTGTCTCGTTACTCGAGAGAATCCCTTTTATATAACCATTCAATTATGCCCTGCAGTCTTCTATGATTTCAAAAAAATGGCAAATGACCCCAGTCGATAAGTGTCGGTTCTAGACCTAACTTGGAAGCTTTTAGCTAATGGTGGGTTTCTTGGTTACCATTATTTGGTATTTGTATTGGCTTACGTATAGAGATGACAAAGTATCATGTTAGAGGGTACTTGCAAGTACTTGACTCGGTTATATAAGATTAAATACATATAATCGAGTTTTGAATGAATTTAGATAATAATTTCACTATTCGTATCAAGTTCAGATATTATCTTTTGAACACTCGATACCCAACATGATTATGTTTTTATCTAGGTTCTTCAAGTACCCAACCCGAGCTCGATACCCATTTATAAATATTTTATTATTATTTATATAATATCCAATAGATAATTTAATTAATATTTAAAACTTTACAAACAATTCATTTTGTTAAAAATTGACAGGTACATGAGAAGTATCATTAGTCAAATTGTTAATGTGATATTATTAATATATTTAAATTAAAAAATTATTAAATTATTATTTATATTTAAATAATATAAATATCATATCATATTACAAAGAAATATAATTATTACTATATATATACTTTTGATATAAATATATTTATTTTCTATTTTGTGTTAACATTACAAAAATGATAACTTATAGAATTATTAATTATAATATATACTTTTATTTATATACATTTATAACATATATATATGTATACACCTAAAGAAAAATTATAAGATTAAAATAGTTTTAAAATCTAGTTCTTTTTTTTGTTTAAATTTCATGTAATTAAAAATAAACTTATATAATAATTAAATTAATTTATGAAACTATGATTGTTGATTAACTTGTAATGTTTTTTAATATATATATTTTATATATTATATTAATTACTAAAAAATATAATTACTATTATAGATATACTTTTAGTATATATATTTTAAATATAAATATATTTACTTTATATTTTATGTTAATGTTACAAAAATACTATTCATAAAAACTGTACATGTAACTTTGGGTTTTTTAAGTAATATATATAATTAAGGTAAATATATTTGATAAAATTATTTTTATTTGAAGGAAATTGACTTGAAATTCTAGTTTTAAGTAAAGGTCATTGTTAATCGTGGTAAGTGACAACGAAAAAATTTTATTTTAAGTAAATGATATTTTGAGAATTTTATTCTCACACGATATTTTGATATAAGTGTTTTATTTTAATTTTAAAAAAAGAATTAAAAAATACTCTTCCAAAACTTAATCAATTAATTTTCAAATATAAATATAAATATTAAATATATTTTTTATTAAATTTTAATTTAATTAAAGTTACCAATGTCAAAGTTAAAACAAAAAAGAAGTCAAACCAAGAATAATAGGACAGAGTTATAAAGAAAGAGGAAAAAGCGTCGTTTTGCTAACGCAACAGCCACAGCTGAGCTGAGGATTCTGTCCACCTTTTCTTGGTAGCACGCGACGCCACATGTTCGATAAAATGTCTCAACAATAAAATAGGTTCTATCTTAGAAATACTTGAAAATTTCAGAAACGACCATGATGCTCTACAATCTTTATGACGGCTTTAAGGAAATTCTCAAGATTCAAAAGTTCCGTAGAGTTGTGTCCTACACTGGATTCTATTGCTTTGTTGCTGTTTTGAGCTACGCTTATACAAGCAACACGTACGTTCAATTCTTAGTTTGGATGCATTTTCATCATCTTTATCCGTTTTCTTTTAATGGGTTTTCGTTGTTTTTGGTGTTTATTTTGCAGAACTAGAGCTGGGTATTCAAGGGCTGATCAATTCTATGCTTCTTATCCTGCTGGAACTGAGCTTTTAACTGACACTGCTAAGGTAACCCTCTTCTCTTTTTTTGTTGCTTTCCCAGTACTTAAATTTTATATATTTGATTAGTATTTGTTTACTGTCTGGTTTGGATAGTTATATAAAGCAGCATTAGGCAATTGCTTTGAGTCCGAAGAGTGGGGTCCGATTGAGTTCTGTATCATGGCTAAACACTTCGAGCGTCAAGGCAAATCGCCATATGCCTATCATGCGGTAAGTTACATTTTGTGAATGTGCTGGCACTCTTTCACTAATCTACTTAAGATTTTCATTCCTGGTATGCAAGATAAGGTTATGTTTTCTGGTGTTACTTGAAAGTTGAGACCTCAATTAACTTGTGATAATTTTTTTGTGCATGGTTCAAGCACAATTTGGTTGTTACTTTAGAAATTCAAGAATGCTAACTCTATGGAATTTTAAAGATATTGCAGTAAATTGTCTCAAGTATTTTTCGATATAAATTGTGCCATGTTTCACAAGTTCTTGCTGGTCCTACTTTATAAAATGATATATTGCCCTGAAATGCCTTGTGAAACAATCTGCCATTACTTTTTTGATCCTATGGGGGTTCAAGCAGACCCAGCTAATTGACTTCTTAAAAACAAAATTGTGTGATAATAAAAGCATGTTGCAATTACAATTCAATGGTGGTAAAAAGGGTCAAAAGTTGAGTTCTGGGGTGCTTGATTACAATTCTATCCATAGACAGCAGTGTCAATTGGGTTGAACGAAGGAATATTTCCTTTTTGTAATTTCCGATACACACGATACTTCTCATCTCCTCCTTCTCTCCCTTTTAAATTTCACAATATCTATTGTGTTTATCCATTAGAGGAGTTGCTCAACTTCAAGGCACCAAGGCACTTTGTCTTGGGACAGGTCCATTGTCACTTTTGGGAGTGAAAGAACTTGGCTGTGATAACAGGGAAATGATCGTGAATAAGATATTGGATTTTCAACTCATCTAAGTTCTACCTTACTGAATGGGGAAGAAACACCACATTGATGACAATAGGTTGCTGTACTGATTTCAGATTGCAACCAAGGGGTTCAGTTTATATTTTCCCTTTCAGCTGGCCTAAAGTTTATTTATATTGTACCTCTCAAAACTCTTTCCCTTGTTTTTGAGACACACTGGTTTCTTTTCTCAACTTCTCTTTCAAATAGATATTAAGTTGCCTTTACATTCGTTTGTTGAAAGGATAGACATCAGTGATTGCTATGCTGTTGTTTAGGCCTTAAATCCACTCACATCTCTCCCTTGGTTGTACACTAATATATTGCCTCCAACTCTTTCCTCCTGTGTTTTATTTTGTTTATGACCTAAAAAACTCTAGAGAGAAAGATCCTCAGCTATTACTGAAAAAATTGGGCTGCTGGGAACAGGGGCAAGTTGACAACTCTTACACAGGAGCAGAACCATCAGCTTAAAATCTACCAATGCATCATCCTTGGACTTTTTTGGTTTGTGAATCAAAACCTGCACACTTAAATCCACATAAGGTCTCCCTTCCCTTGTGCTTTTTGAATTGCTCCAATGCCTCCCAAAATTTTCTGTACAAGTTTGCTGGTTTCGTTATGTAGATGCATCAAAAGTACTTTAAATTGTTTTGAGTTTATATAAATTGGAAGATGTTGGATGCTAAATTCTGAGCTTCTGTTGCTCAATGCTCACTAAGTCGTATCTTGTTATCTGGTTGCAGCAATACATGGCACACCTCCTTTCCCATGGTCAACTTGATGGAAGTGGCTAGAACCTAGAAGCGGTAAAATTCACTGCTAGATGAATGGAAACGCATGTGCAATACACGTGAAATGGACTCATGGTGGTACTTATACCAATGAGGAGAACCGAAATCATATTGTCTGTGATGCCTAGTGATTTCCTGTTCAACATAAGAACTTGTGCTGACACCTTAAATTAAGTGCCATTGCACTTAATCTTGGTTCCTTGGGATTTTGGTTGGCTTTGTTTAGACTTTAGAGGCTATAATTTGTAGCATTTGGGAATTTGACTTTCCAGGCTTTGCCGTCAATGCCTACATCAGCAGCCTATATTCTAACGCTATCTGCAATTTGCAGCAATTATTGAGGATTACTTAAAACAAAACTATAACGATAAAAGGGTTTTGGTGGAAGCGTGTTAAATGATTTCCTTGCAGTGAACTTTATAAAGGAATCATGTAGGCTAACGGCCTCCTGACCATGAAGCATAATAATAGGCGTGTTATATCTGGCAAGAGATTGATCAAATATAAGATCATTAAAGATTCGCCTAACGTTCACCTTATTATTTGTTCATAACTAGACCCATAAAGTAAAAGAAAAATACTTTACCTTTTTAAAACTCTCTACCCTTTGAAAAATCAATATTTAATTTGAACTGAAAAGAATATTGTCAAGCACTAAATATTAATATTATTAAAAATTAAATTTTAATATTAGTAATTATTGCCTTTAAAATTTGTAAAAATTAGAGATATTGACCTACAAATGAGTGTGTAAAACTGCAATATTGAAAAAGTATTTTTCTTTCTGAAAAAGTAAATGTTATTTTAAAAATTCTAAAATAATAAAATGAACATTTAATATGAAATGAAAGCTATAAATATATTTAGTTAAAAATATAAATTTAATAAATAAAAACTCTACACTGTCAATGCATCAAATATAGATCCCAAATATAAATCCTTAATTATTTTACATAGTATAGGCTATTATAACCTAATAATTTTGTGATAGCTGTTGATTTTTTTGTTATTTTCACAGGACCCAATCCAAAGACAATTTCTCACCTTATCAAACATCACATCAATGAATGAAATTTATAAATGGATGCAAAAAAATAAAAAAAAATCACTAGAAGCTCAAAATGCATGAATGGGCTCTTCAATGCATATCCGTATCTGCCACCAATTGAGGTAGAAATGATTTTGGATTCACAGATACAACAAAATGCTAAAGATGTGACAGTAATTGAATATGCTTCATTTTGAATCGTGTGAAAATGTTGCTGAATCCTAGTTAACTATTGAATATCGACTGCAAATAAGCTTTTATCTTTACAATAATGGCCCAATTCATGACCACAAGAATTGCCTCCCTTAAGTTGCTGTCATTGGGATGAGTAAATAATTTGTTAAACTTAAAAGGCAAACAGGTAAGTAACTTCCTCTGAAGAATCATAAATAACAGCTACATGCTACATCAGCAGGGTCACCACACACTAGTTCATTAAAGAGCCAATAATAATTCAAGAGCTCAAGTAACTTTCCACAATTTTATGGCCTAAGAAGACAGATTATGAACCTTGGAAGGAGAGTTGTTGACCTAGCAAAAGAAAACAAAGCACCGCAGATTATCTTTGTCAAGCGCACGTTATCAAGCACATTAAGCTACCACTTTCTGTACTTCATTGTGCACCTGGAAAGAGAGTTAGAGAAGTAAGAGAGGATACTAAACCCCTTTGTGAAGTAAAACATTGATAAACAGCCATCCAATATATAGTTCGGGAATACATACCTCACGAGGTTTTCGAATGACACCGACACACCTTGAAGCACTGATGCTATCACTTCTCAACAGGCGATGAGCACTGCGTGTAGGTTTGGCAGAGGCGTTATGAATCCCTGAAACATTTTGGTTTGCACATTCCCATTCCCCAGATCCCTGCAACTTTGTAGGGCTTTGAAGTGTTGCACGGTTAGCAGAAGCCACTGTACGCTTTTTTGATTGTTCATCAGTATCTTCATTGCAAACTCGCTCTCTGAGAAACAAATGGTCATAGCCAGTGTAATAAACGCATGCATTCAGACAAAGAAATTGCAAATAAGAAAATATTCCAGCAATTCACCTAGGCAAAGACGTATATTTCCTTTGGAGCAGAATGCCTCTTTCATTTTTGCCGTATTCCTCAAGACAGGCAAATTGTCGCCTGAACTGATCAACTCCGCTGGGTTGACATAAAACACTTACTCGAATTAATGTTCAATGCATTTAAAATAAAGAGAGACACAAACAGTAAGTAAAGATGTAAAGTTCAGGTAATATAATCATACAACTAGAAGATGATAAATCCTATTAAAATTTAGATGAATGGCCAGAAGATTGTTGTGTTAAATGCAAAGTTGAGGTCGCATTATAATTCCTCTCTTCTGCCTAAGGTTTTCTCAACACTAAAGATGCTTGCTGAAACGCAAGAAGGTTTCAGAATATTCTTTTATGCAACATGCTTAAAGTGGAAAAACTCCACACTATTGTAATCCGCATAATAATTTACTAGGACTGAACTAACAATGCCACACAAGTTGGAGGTGGATATGCCAGAATAAGCCTTCCTATGTTGGGAGAACAATGTAGAGATTTAACCTGAACTTGTGATAAATATTGCAGTAATAAGAACACAGACTGATACTTTGAACAATGAAAAATGCAAATTAGTGTTAATAATAATATCATTTCAGGATCGATGACAGTGTTCTCATCATGACCATCTTTCAGCACAGGTGACACTCCCTGTCAGTTGGTGCTATCTTTTATAGAAAAAATTATTTTTAGCATCACTGTCACCTCTGCATCTAAATTAACAAATGAACTCTTTGATGGAAATAATGAAAGATAATAATTCATCACTCTCTATTTCAAACAGCTGAGACCTGGATTCTTACTGTCAATCATCACACTTAAAGGGTTCGATCTTTATGATTTATGTTTTTGGTAACTGTTCTAAACCATCATCATAAAAAATAGATAGATGCCTGACCTTGGATACATGAAGCTAATTTGATCTTTGCCTTGAAGGTACTCCTGCAACATCTGTGGATGGTACTCTAATATCTGTTTGCATTTTAAAAATAAGAGGCAACACAGTAAACAATAGTGAAAGAGGGCATCAAATTGAGAATAATATCACTCAGGCAAGAACTAGTCTCTGTGTACATGCATACCTCTCTGTAAATTAGCTCTCTGACGTCATCTTCCGTCAATTTCCCTCTTTCAAATTCAAACTCAAATTTTGAAATGGGTTTCATGGATGGTTCATTGTCCAAATTTGCCAATCCATGGAAATATGGATCAGCTAATGCCTGCATAAAGAAAAATCATAGAAGTTGGTAAGTCATAGAGTATAAAGTAAAGGGATGCAAATCTTAAACTATCACAGCCCATATAGTTTACCTCTTCAGCAGATGGACGATCATTAGGATCAAATGCAATCAGACGCTTAAGCAAATTTAGGGCCATTGGATCAGCATTTGGAAATTTTTCTGAGAAAGGAATTGGTTTCTTTTTTCTCATGCTATTCAAATATTTTCTAGCCTTTTCATTCCGAATCTGCAGATATTATAAGAGTCAACATGGTTGGAAAACAAGATCTTGGCCACATTTAGAATAAAGCTATGAAGTAACTTAAAGAGGTTCCTAACGAGCGCTGATGAAAATTTTCTCTAATCACAAAGGAGATAGCAGACCCTTGCAATTGTTTCAGCAGAGGGAGTGCCAAGCAAATCAGTGACAAGATCCAATTGATCCACCACATTCTTCCCAGGAAACAATGGCTTTCCCTTAAGCAACTCAGCAAATATACATCCAACGCTCCAAATATCAACAGCAGGAGTGTACTGCAGAAAACACAGGTTTTGAATCAATTAATAAAGTTCTTAAAGGACTTCAGCTCAAAATTGTTCACCTGAATAGAATATAAAGTAAAATTCTAAAAGCAGTGTATGTGTGCATGAGAGAACAAAAAAGAAAACAGAGGATTAGAATTCAAAGATATGCTGAATCAACAAACTCTTGCAAAGAAAGCAAACTGCAACATCCATATTCATAAACCCAAAAAACTTAGATATGCAAGAAGCTTCTTCTCACTCAAGCACCAGCTATTCTACCCGCTCAAGCAACGACAGCCACAATGACACAACAACATGAACTCAAATATATATTTGCCCATAGCATAAAATCCCTAAACTAAACTAAAATAAGACAGTTTAAAATAAACCATAGAGCTGACTAGCAATTTTTAAGTGAAGATCATTAATTGCAGTAAGTGAAAAAATGATATTATTACCTTGGAGAAAAATGAACCGCACAGTTCAGGAGCTCGATACCATCGAGTCGCCACATAATCCTTGAAATGTAAATGTGATAATCAAATGCAAAGGATAGCTAACTTGGTATAAACAATGCCAATGAATAGCAGACAAGTCGTATGGCAAGAAGGAATCACTTACAGTCCAAAAAATAGCAGAAGGAACGTCAGTAAACGATACCCGAGCGAGTCCAAAGTCACAAAGCTTCAGTTTGCAGTCCGCATTAGCAAGTATATTTTTTGGCTTTAAATCTCTATGGAAAACATGTGCTGAAACATTGAAAGGAAAAGGTAAAAAAGTGCACAAATTGGAGAGAACTTTACAGCAATTGATGGGTAAAAGAAAGCAACCTGTGTGAATGTATTTTAAACCTCGAAGAAGCTGGTACAAGAAAAATTGATGATGTTCAGGGGTTAGATCATCATTTATCTTTATAACACGGTGAAGATCAGATTCCATCAACTCAAAAACAACAAATATATCTTTAAATTCTCTTCTACATGGAGGAAGCATTATGTGTTTTATTTGAACTATATCTGGGTGTCGCAGCAGCCGTAGGAGTTTGATCTCTCTAAGAATGCGTGTAGCGTCAGAGGTGTGCTCAAAGATGTTGGTCATCTTCTTAATAGCTACCTTCTCTCCAGTGTGAGTATCTATTGCAGATGCAACCACACCATAACTCCCTTTGCCAACTACTTCCTTTATTTCATATTGACTTGCCTCACCATATTCAGTGAAAAAGTCTTTGTCAAACATTTTCTGATTAAATAAAATAACCATTAGATTCCCTCTGAAACAAAATCAATACACAAAACTTACACTACAAGTGTGCTCACAGCGTACTTGAAGTAATACAATGAAAGTATGAAACCCTTAACATTGAATAGATCTCAACCTTCCACACATTAGTTATTCAGGGTTGCATTTGGGAACTTGATGACAGGAGGATTTGAATTTCAAATATAGCATAAGTTGTGTGGTAATACTCATGAATGTATAAGATTTATGACTATGCTGAAATCCATGGATTTTGTTAGATTTCTCTTAAGTAGTGAATTTGTACTACCGAAACTGGAAAAGTGAAATTCAAATAAATCCCATAACACTCTTCAAAATGTTTAGGTGTATGGAACTTTTACTAGTATTTTTATACAGCAACTACACTCATCTTCATAATTTATGGAGAAAATCAAATCCAAATTCACCACCTGAAAATCTTGTTTCCAAACAAAGAACTAAAATTTTAACATTAATTTTCTTCAAAGACACGTGCTCATGCAGACCTCTAGCAACACCAGCTAGTGAATCAGATGCAAACTTTAGCATATAAGCAAGATAAGGACAAAAACATACACACCAAAAAATTTATAAAATTTAGAAATGTAAGAATAAACACTATGATTGGTAAATGTTTTGAGACTTTAAAAATCTCCAAGCAGACATATTACTTGTTACAAATCAAGAAAAGAAAGTCGACCCAATAAGCTTGCAGGTATTACCTTTATTATTCAAGTCCTTTTCATCCTAAAGGCTAAAACATAAGCAAAACTTCCAAACAATATCACCCATCAAACAGATATTTAAACTCCACCAAACAGGAAAAAAAAACCCTAAAACTCATTTTTAAAAAAAAAAACATGTAAATGATTAAGGAGCAGGAAGAGAGATTACTCTTTTTTTTTTTTTTGTAGGCGAACGACTCCAAGCCAGAAGCTGAAAAAGCCAGAAAATTGGAGACACGAGCTTTAAATAGTCACGGAGAGGAAGATATCAACTGCTCAGATAGCACCTCCAACACCTCATACGTAGAAATACACCACGTTAGCGTATATTCATACGTATGTGCGCACATATCCCGAATCAAGCGGATGCTGACAAAACTTGAACATGTCAAAACTCAACTGCTGTCAGAAACCCATTGTTACTAATTATGTCAAGATATATTAAAAAAATGGAAAAATGGGAAAGGAAAAACAATTACTAGTAGTATTTTTTTTCTAAAAAAACAAAGGGAGATATTATCTAAAAGGGTTTATTGGGTCTGCTCGAAATTCGAACCTTATCCCCACATTTGCGGGAGCAATAAAGAAGAAGGGAGAGAGGGGATTGGAAATGGGTGAGGGGATGACGTCGTTTCAATTATAGTGGAATAAGATCGCAATAAATATTAAATTGATCAGAAGGAGAGAGCGAAGGGCAGGATTTGGATTTTGACAGGGCGGCGTACCACGGAAAACGCTGCCCTCTGCCTCTGTTAGGCGCCCTTTCTACCATAGCCATTCGCCTAATCGCGGCCCATAACTCCAGTTTAACCATGGCCAATCACCAGAGTGCCATGTCATGGGATGAACGAGGTCGTGCCACGTAAGTCTCATATTCGTGTGCTCAGTGTTTATTGCATTGCAACTTGGATGGTGTGTACTCGAATCTGTTCGTTGTCGGTGTTAAGCGACAACGTGATCTCGAAGGCACCGTTTCTTTTACACGTTATCTCCAAATTTTGACGTAATCATTATTCGATTTAATCTCTATTCATTTATTATGAAATTAAAAATTTTATAATCATTGTTAAATGAAGTTATAAATTAATATACATAAATATATTTTTTTCTCTTCAAATGAAAGTTGAGTTTTCAATACTTTGAATTGTCATGGATTTTAAAAAATATTAATGTAATTATCATATATCTCGAGTCATTTTTTTGAATTGAAAGTGCAAACTCTAATAATTTAAATCGAAGTGATAAATTCAGATCAAAATGATTTCCTCTCTATAAGTAAAAAAATTCTTACAAAAAATAACTGCCAACAAAAAATTATCTGGATCTTAAAGATTATAAATAAAAAATTTTTCTTTACCTAATATATATTTTGATTGAAAGTGTAAACCCATGACGCTTTTATTCCCTGAAATTATTCATTTTTTGAAAAAATCATTTTCCTATTAAAAAAATCCACATTTTACTTAAAAAATTTTCTCTCAAAATATTTTATTTCTCAATTTGACACATTGCGCACCCTTTTGGTACGGATTCTCGGTTCTTACGTGAAAGTAAAGCAAGTATATTATATTAGGCTTGACTTTAGAAAATGAAAGTAATAATTTAACGTTTAAACGCATACTAATTTAATTTTATTAAAAAAATTAGCGGCGAAGGAATAAAAATCAACTCTGGCTACTTGTTTTTATAAGGGATAGAGTCAAATTTAAATTCTTGTTATTTTTTAATAATTTTCATTTTCAATTGTATCAAAACAAAATTTGAACTGTCAATAAATATATATGTATATATATGACATAATATATCAAATGAAAGAAGTCAATAAATCAACTAACCATAATAAATAAAATAAATAATTCAAATAAAACTCAATAAGTATTTACTAGTGTATACAATTATATGGAAAAGAAGAAAAAAATTCAAACCTTGAAAACATTCACAAAATACCAAAGGATAGAGGTCATACCAAACAATTCTGCAGCCCAATAAGGTCTGAAACATTTTTCAGCAAACAACGAGATGAAGGAATCTTGGCTCTCTAGATACTGATAAAACATCTGCTGCAACCTCTCACCAAATGCTGCTATTTGGATGACAATTACCCAATCCAATGAATCAAAATGGAAGGAGTGAAGTTTGATTCCCACTTTTATGTTAAAGAAATAGAAACACAAGCGTTGAGGATAAATAAGATGCATAACAGTAAAGAATTATTGATACTTTAGTTAACAAAAGATTCCATCAATAAATTCAAACCTTTGGTTATATTAAGAAGACCAAAGATGCGGAGACAAGGAAAACAAACTTTTCCCTGCAAGTTTGAATGGTTGACAGTATCAAGACAGCAGAGAAGAACGCAAGTGAAGAGCAAGTGCCAATAAAAGTGCACCAGTGCATGGGATCCTTGAACAGAGACCTGTAGCATTATATAACATCAGTTTTTAAGAAACCTCAGGTAATAATTTCTGCAAACACTACACTAAATTTCTTCTCGAAATTCCCTGATGGCTGGGAATTGTGGCTTCTCACTGTCATCAATGCCGCAGCTGAGCTTATCAACCCCAAAACAGTAAGCAGTTAAGCTAGCTGAATATACAAGTGCATGCTTGGAGATAGACCACTACAGGGGAAAGGAAAACACAAATTTTGGATGTCCTAAAACTGTGCAGCAACATAATGAGAAATCTTGTAATCTGTTGCAGATATCAAAGACACTTAAATGT